TCCTGGCTGGTGCCCTGAGGAGCTTGTTAGTGTGTCTTGAAAGCCTCATGTTCCTGTAACTCATCTCAAACATTCTTAGGATTTGCTAATTTAGTCTATTTTTGGACAGACATCCTGTTCTAAAGGCGCTGTTGTCCCTGAGCCTCCTACATCCACTGCTCACCCACAAAGAGGGGAAGGGAAACTCCTCCTGGCTGTGCTGGGACCTCTCCTGGGAAAGGGGACCAGGCTCTGCTGCTCATCTTGTACCCAGAGAAGCTCTTGACAAAGGGGAAAGAGCCATCCCTGGAGAGGAAAAGGGAGCAAGGCAGTGGGAGGGGGAGGTGTCAGAGGAGTGATTTCGACATTACTAATAACCCTCCTCCTCCAAATCCCTGGAGACCCTTCCAGAAGCCTGAAATGTTGCTAAACAGGCAATGCACTGGGGGATCTGCAGGGAGGTCGCTGGGCGGGGGTGGCTTCTGATGTGGATGCTCTTGGGATGCGTTGGAGAGCAAAACATCCTCCTCTGGCACTGGTCACAGAGATGCTGCCCCGTCGTGTGGCTCCGGGGGCTGGTCAGACACCAAGATGCTGCCTGGGATTTCACAAACGCTTCTTTTGCTGCTGATCTTCCTAATTGCTCATGTTTGAGCAAGGGAGGAGGCTCTGACAGCCACCCCTTCTCCCCCGGCAAGGGAGGGCAGCCCCTCCTCGGGCATCAGCTGCCTCGTGCCCAGGTGCTGGAACCCCCGGAGCTGGGGGTTTATTAATATCTGCCATGTGATACCACGGCTCTCCCTGCTCTGCAGGCAAAACACGGCATAACCATGGGAACTCTGTTCCTCAACGCCCTCAGCACGCCCCGCTAATCCAGGCAAGCCGCCCGCAGCTCTCGCTGTGATCAGGTTGGGTGTAATGAGCTCTGGAAACCCTGGGTGTCCTAGCAGTTCCCTCTGCCCTTCCTGGCGAGGGGATGTGTAACAGGCTTGTCATCGGGAGGCTCCCAGGGCTCATGTTGCAAGGAAAAACAACCAGATTTGGCAGCTGGCTGAGCTGTTTTGGGGTCTGTGCAGGCAGGGAAGGAGGCTCTGTCCCAGCTCGTATGTCTGAGCTCCAAATATCCGCATTGGGACTCCCAGGGCTCTGCTGCAGCTGCCGGGCGACGCTGCGGGGCAGCGCTGCCAGCTCCGCTCTTACCCTGCCCCGTCTGATGCCAGGGCAGAGCCCTGGGGGTCCCACCGGGCTCCCCGAGATCCAGCAGATGAAGCAGGAGGGACTTTGCTCTGCGTGGATGGGCGGGTTGGGCCGGCGGGGCTGTGCCGTGCCCGGCGGGTTTGGGAAGGGCGGTTATCGCCAGGCCGGGGTGTGCCGGCACAGCCCTGGCCCCGGGGCACCGGCTGCTCCCACCGCGCCCAGCAGCGCCCTGCAGCCCTCCAAACACACACCCGGCTCCTGCCCCACGGGGGTGCTCCGGTCCCGGTCCTGACACCCCGAGCCCTGCTCCATCTCCTGTCAGGGGGGTCGTGTTTTCATGTCGGGGGACTGCCTGCCAAACTGGGCTGGAGGTGGAGGGGAGAACTTGTGGCTCCTGCCCCACAAGCTGGGTCTCTGGGTGCAACAGGGAGCTGCCTTGCCAAGAGCCTTTCTAAGAGTGTCCATCTGCATCCAAAATCTGTGACTTGTCCACTTCATCTTAGGGGGAATTCTGTTCCACAGTCTGCTTCCAGAAGCAGAAACTCTGTAATTTCCAGTCTGGATGTGTTTGTGCCAGCTGATTTCCATCTCTTTTTGCGCTACCCTTGTCTTAGCTTAAACAGCAGAGCTCCTTCCCTGGTGTTTCCATACAGCCAGCAGATCTCCCGGCCCTGGCTGAGCCAGCCTGGCTGGGCACAGCTGCAGTGCCAGGGTTCCCTCTGCCAGGGCTGCCCTGATTCTGCTACAGTACTCGCTCTGCTGCTGCCACAGAGCCCAGGGCACCGCTCATGGCACAGTGTGGATGTGTGTGATAGCCCAGCCCCTTTTCCCTGCCCAGGGGGCACAGCTGGACACTGCCCAGCCCTTGCCAGGGGGCCACTGCCATTCCCAATTGCTCTTGGAAAGTCTGTGGGCAGCGTTTGCCTGTCCCATGGCTGTGCCATGCTGGTGGCCAACAACCACCCTGTGATCCCCCTCCTTCACCACAGCCCTTTCCCTCTGCTCCTCCAAGCAGAAGAGCCCACAGCCGAGGCTCAAAATTCCTGTGAGGAGCCTGGGAGACCTCTCACTTCAACCCAGAAAAGGGAAGGGAGGAAAAATGAAGTTTGGAGGCTAATTCTGGCAGCACCAGGCATAAGAAAGATCAAAAACTCGGGGCAGGAGTACAAGAGGGGAGGGAAGCTGTTGCGTGCATGCTCCTGGAAGCCCCGACAGCCCCGGTTCATGCATCCTGCACGTTATTTCTGTACCTACTTAAATTAAAACCAGCCTTGTCTTGCTGACACTGACTGGAGCCAGGCAGTTCTTCTCCCCAGGGGAGAATCCAATTTTCACTCCATCTTGCTTGCGTTTTTGACCTGGAATGACTCTTCCTTTTATATTTAACCAACACTCCCTCCGAACCTTGTACTGCGCTGCGCTTCTCACGCAGAGCCGGCAGTGGGATGGCACACAGAGCTCCAAGGCAGGGGACCAAGGTGGGCATCCTGCTCGCCCGGGATCCCACTGACCCGTGGCAGTGCTGGTGGTGTGATGGCACACAGAGCTCCAAGGCAGGGGACCTTGGGTGGTTTCCCAAGCTGGGCATGCTGCCCACCTGAGCTCTGACTGACCCACGGCAGACTGTGCCATGACAGACCAGAGGCCACACGTGCTCTGCAGGCAGAGCCCTGGCATGACCAGCCTGGCTGCTGGTGGGAGAAGGGAGTTGGGGTCCCAGCCCTCTTCTGCATCCTCTGCATCTTGGGACTGGGGTCCAGAAATGCCAAGGAAGAGCCATGTGCTGGTGCTGACCGTGGCATGGCCGGTGGGGAGGGCACTGTGAGATGCTGGGCTGTGGCGCTGCTGTGGTCATGGGAGGGACCCCACCACCTGCAGCCCCTCACACACCTCCCTCCCAGTTTCTGACAGATCCCTTCACAGCTGGTTCTCCATAGGGATAACTGCTCCAACCTTGTCCATCTCTCCTCAGCGCAGGAGCAGACCTGGCTCCAAGAGGGTAGGATTAATTAATTACAGCTCAGAGGTGCCCTGGGCCTGTCTAATCCAGGCTCCAGAGGTGTTTCCCTTCCTGCAGCACAGCCCTTGGTGCAGGCACATCCCTGCTCCCGAGCCTTTCCTAGGGACCAACTCATCAGTCCTGTAAATTAAACCTTTCAGAGGCTCAGGAAACACCATGGGGGCTGGGCTGGCAGGAAGGTAGATGGAGTGGAGGTATTTATTCACTCCTGCAGCCCTTAGTGCTCTGGGAAGCCCTGCAGAGGCCTTTGCCTGCCGTGACTCGCCCGTGGCTGTGTGCTGACAGCAGCGACGTTCTGCTTTAATTCCCTAATCTTCATGAGCCCGGGGTATTCCAGGTGTCTCTCCAGCAAGAAGGGAGGCTTCTCCAGGGTTATATAACCCATCCAGGGCAAAGCTGGGCTGTTTGGAGCCCCCTCTGTACCAGCTCCCAACACCTGGCAGGGCAATTAGTCACCAATTACAGCCATGACGCAGGGCACCAGCCCAGCTCCTACTGCGCCCACGGGCTGAGGCACCAGCTGCCCTGGAGCAACGTGTCTCCTTCCTAATCCTGTGACTCCATCGTTAATCAGTCCGGGATAGGCGAGTAAATAAGTCTGTCATTGGAGGCTGGTGCAGGGAAGAGCAAATGTTTTGTGAAGTGCAGCCCTCTGTTTGTGTGCGTCATGCAGGATACTGAGAGGGAGCCCTGAGCTGCGGGATTAACTCCTGCCAGCAAACCTTTGGCTCTGGATCACCCATGGTCCCCACTGGCACTGTTCTTCCCAGGGACCAGAGAGGATGGGAATGCTGCCGTGCAGCCAGTGCAGTGTGGGCCCAGGGAATGTGCTGGGTTTGGATGTCCCAACATGGAGATGCTGAGTTAGTTTGGCTGTGGCAGGACAGAGTTATTGTCCTCCTCTGGAGCCAGAGGAGTGAGAGTCCCTCTGTGTTTGGTGGCAGGATGTGATACTGAGGGGCAGCTCCTGCCAAGCAGGAGGGCAGCAGCAGCTGGGGAGATCCCACTTGTTGCTGATGCAGTGGGACAACTTCCCCACCCTGAGCCCTTTTTTCCCTGACCCCTGAGGGAAGCCCACCTCCTGCCATGGGGGTTTATAATGGAGAATTAAAAAAGTACTTTCTGTCTAAAGCAAAGCCCGGGAGTCTTCAAAGTGTATTAGCAGTCAGATTCCTCAAGCAGCACCATGACTGAGGCAGCCGCCACGTACTCAGGCTTCCAGGCTTGCCTTGTACCAGGAAAAAGAAATCCTGGATTAGCTGTACACCCACTCCAGGACACTGCCCTGGCAGGCAGCTCCGGCTCTGTGCCCACCAGGCTCGCTGGCTGCCCTCGGATGGCTTCTGAGGGTCAGGGTCCCATAGGAATACTGTTGAAGTGAGCCTTCATTTCATTCTTAATCTAGAAAATTAGCAAATAAAGCAGGATGTCGTTCTCAGGCCTTTGAATCATCCTGAAAAGCTGTTGCCAGTGAGTGCTCCGTGCACTTGCCCGGCCACACTGTGGCACCGGGAGCAGAGGCTGGAGAGGGTGGAAAAGCAGGACGGGGTGACTTGTTTTCTTATGAGCTGAATTCCAACTTTGCTCTCCAAATCCCGGTTTTTATAGACTTTTCCGCTGAAGTCTGCTCCTGCCCGGGGCATGCCTGTGTAACCGCTCCTCTCTGCATTCCTCAGATTCCTCTTCCGCTGGAGACCGGATTGGAGACGGGGGTCTGAGGTCCCTGGTGGAGGAAGGAGGCGAGGAGCAGGAGGAGGAGGAGGTTTCCCTTGGACTCTAAGCCGTCAAACCGGAAAACCAAACCATGTCCCAGGTCATACAGAACCACGTGCTGCGTGTTGGACAGACTGTGTGTGTTCCCTCTCCGGAGGAAAGCAAGAACCTGCACCCGGCGGGGTACCCGGGGTGCTCCACCCTGCCGGGCAAGTACGTCTACTACTCCACAGAGTCCTGGGCTGACCCCCCCTCCGTGGTGCACCCCAAGGCTCACCTGCTCCCCGGAGGGAGGCTGTATGGAGCCCACCCTGTGCTGGAGCATGTGGCTGCTCACACACAAGGGAAGGGGCAGCAGGACTCCTCCTTGGAGAGAGCCCCTGCTCCATGTCAGCCGAAGCAGGAGGAGAACACCAGCATGGATCCTGAGGCTCAGCCAGTGTCTCCCTCCCTGGACATATCCATAGAGGCTCTCAACCGGCTGATCCTAGAAATCGATCCGACCTTCCAGCCCCTGAAGGATCCAGCCCAACCTGCTGTTTGGGGTGACACTGTGGCCACCAAGGAACAGGAGCCAGAGGCAATAGGTGAGGAAAAGGCACCACTCAGGCACTGGAGCCAGAGCAGCTCCAACCCAGTGAAAACCCTCTGCCAGGGGCAGCGGGAACCTGGGACAGAGAGGTTGGGCACACACCTGTCCTGTGGGCAGGACGAGGTCCTGGGGGGCTGGAAATGGGCATCAGGGACATCCCACACTGTCCCCAGTGGGATTGCTGTGGGGAGTTGTCTCCTGGCATCAGGACTCCATATTAAGGAGCAGGACAGGCTGTGTACCCAGGCTCTGCCTAATTCCACCACTTCCATGGCCCTGGTCTGATCACTGTTGACATGTCTCATGCCCAGCCCAGCTCAGAGGGATCCAGAAGGGAACAGGGAAAACAGCCTTTGATTCAACCTGATGTTTGTTTCCCTGTGTTTGGAGAAAACATTTCTCATTGGAAATGGGACTTGGGGAAACTCCTACTCCCAGTTGTCACCATCAGTGACAGGCCCTGGGCTCTGGGTGCCATGTGAGGACCCTGCTCCCCTCATTCCCCCAAGGCCAGCAGAGCCTTTCCCAGGGTCACACTTGACCCGTGGGAGCACAAGGATTTGCAGCCAGATTTCCAGGGCCCTGGGCTAAGGTACTGAGTGTTACACAACCATCCCATTTAAATGTTCCCAGTCACTTTGCCAGGGAAATTCTTTTTCCAGGGCTTGTGCACTCCTCGGGCAGCATACCTGGCATAGGCAAGGCACCAGCAGCACATACCAGCCTGTTCTCTGCTCAAGGGTTCCCTACGTGAACCCTTGTGCAACACTTCCCTGTCATCCCTGCAATCCAAGCTCTGATCTGTGAGCTGCTCCTGATCCAAGCATTCCTGCCTGGGCTCTTCTGCTGGTTTTAGCTGTTCAGCACCCCGTGCACAGGGCAGCCCCATCAGTGCTGGCACTGCTGTCACTGTCCTGGTGCACCAGGGGTGGCTCATGTGCCTGAGGACACAGACTCACTGCTTCCCAAAAACCTTGTTGCCTGACCCTGTCTTTACACATGGAAATACCTTGACAGTCTGTCCCCAGGCCTCTTCCCAGAGGAAGGTGAAATGAGAGGATGGTAAAGGCATGAAAAAAATTCTGTTCTCCCTGAGCCCTCGTGCAAAGATGAGGATTGTGGGGTCAGGGGAGGATGTGAGTGTCCTGGTGCTCCAGCAGGGAGCCAGACAATTCCAGGGCAGACAGTGTCCCTGCTTCCCCCTGGGATGGACAGAGTGGCCTTGCAGATAAAGGACTGTGACAAAGTGCAAGTTCAGCTCTGGCTGCTCAGTGCCTGGATCTCGGGAGATGGAGCCTGAGAAGCTTCACAGGTTTGAAAAATCTGGCTCCAAGAGAACACCTGGAATTCTGGCCTCAAACGCAGTGGGAAAAGCCTCACTTTAGCTTTCATTTTCTTTTAACAGCTCTTGGATTTTACACAAACTTCCTCCCACTGTGCAGGGTCTCTGTTCACCCACCTCCTCCCACTCCAGCCCTGCAACCTATGCCCTAATGTGAGGGTGGCAGGGACTGACAGTGACCAGAGAAGTGAGATGGGCTTGTTCTTGGTTAGTGGAGCCCATGAGGAAGCTTTAAACATGACAAATGCTGCAGCAACAGGAGATGCTTTCATGAGAGTCACAAATCCCCCTGGAATCTGCTGGAGAGGAGAGATCTCAGATCTCAGCTTACGTGACATCTGAGCTCTGTGTTTGTGGCACTTTTGCCACTCCTCGATGCTGGAAAACTTGCCAAGGTCTTGAGCAAATATTTGAGGTTTAACCCCAGGTGATAAGAGGAGCCAAGGCGGAGAAGTAGGAGGTAAAAGGCCTCCTACATGAGCACGGTGTGCAGATGCTTGTCAGTTCTTTAAAGGACAATTAAACTCCCCATTTCTCTCTCCCCTTGAGGAGCCATTGACAAGAAGCATCCGGCCAGGAGCTGCTGTGAGGGTTTGTGAGCTGATATCAGGACACACAGCAGCTGCTCCCAGGCCGGGTACTGGAGGAACTGCTGCTGACAGCCAAGCTGTGGAGGGGGAAGGTTGTGGCTCTGGCTCCATCCTGGCAAGGTCCAGCTGTGTCCCCACTGGGGACCAGCCCTCCTGGCCCACCCGGTGCCTCCTTGGCACTGGTCGTGCCAATCTGACCCTGTGCCGGGGTTGGCAAGGAGAAGGGGCTCGGGGAGTAACTTTTGTACAGACTTGTGCTTTTCCTGCTCATCCAGCCCTGTGCCCCAGAGGTCTGACTGTTCCTTGCAGTAATCAGGGTCAGCAGAGTTGGCTGCTCTGCCTGTCCAGCTCCCACATGGCGGGTCCAACCCTTCACACCACAGCCAGGGGGGATCGGGGTTATCAGAGCAGCTTGTCTTTGCCGCAGCAAAAAGGTTTTTCCCTCTCCAAGAAACTCTTTTGAGAAGGGGAACTTTCCTGAACTCCATGGCAGGGCAAGAACGAGGCGCTGAAAGCAAAGCTGGGCAGGTCCAGACTGGAAGGGAGGTGCAAACTTCTGGCACTGGAGTGATTAACCACCAGAGCAGCTTCCCTGGGCGGTGAATCCACCATCACTGCGAGTGCTTAAATCGAGTCTGAGTGTTCCAGCCAAGCCAGAAATTATGGCTTTGTCCAAGGAAGCCAGGGCCTGATGTACATCAGGCACCTGGGGAGCCAGGCACACTCTGTCCTGGCTGTGAGGTTTCGCTTTCTCTGACAAGAGATGCTCTGCCAGGTGTGTTCCCATATCACTGATGGCAAGCAGAGGGGCTGGACAAGGCTGGTCTGCTCTGAGCAGGAATGGAATAATGGGAAGGATCCCACAGCAGGGCACAGGCACAGAAAGTGCCTTGGAAGTTACTTCCCTGGAGAGATTTGTGCGGGATGGAGGAAGGGAAAAGGGAGCCAGCAGCCCCTGCCTGGGGCTCTGTGCTTGCTGCCAGCATGGCTGGTCCCATAGTGGACACCAAGAGCTTTGTAACTGCCCTTGTCCCACATGGATTCCCTCTGCCTCCTGTCCCACTGCCACTCCAGCTGTACCTGGGGCCAGGTGACATCCACCTGCTCCTCTGCCCAGGGCCAGGTGACATCCCCCTGCTCCTCTGCTCAACCAGGGTGTGCAGGGCCACACTCCTGCTGCCCTGAGCATCCTCCAAACCTGACATCATCCCCAGGGGGAGCAGCCAGATGTTTTTCTCGTGAGTCAGGTACAAACAGAGAGGCTGCTGGAGGGAACACCCACCTCTGACTGCAGGTCTCTGCAGGTCCTGGCTGGGTAGTGCTGGTGAGGGGGGGGTCTAAGCAGCCAGACATGACCACAGGTAACCCCCCTTCCCTGGGAGCCTGCCAGCACTGGGGGGTCAATGCACTCTGGGATCTCAACAAAAGGCATGGGGGTGTCCTCTGGGACACCCCCCCCAGCCCTGCAGGGAGTGAAATTCAGAACCAAAATTCACAGCAGGAAGAGCAGACACTTGCCCCCCACGGAACTTTATTAAGGAATGCAATTTGGACACTAGATTTCTAATAACCTCCTCTCTCTCCCTGCAGACATCAAGTACATAGAGCTGACACCAGGCAGAGCCACGGGGCCTGAGCTGCCACAGGGCTCCCCCAGCCCTTCGGGCACCCCATTCTCCAGGTCCCCCCAGACCGACGGCTTCCTGACCCAAAAAGGGGCACTCGGGGGCAAATACAGCACTGGTGACAGCGTGGTTTTCTCCAGCCCACCCGGACCCTCAAGCTCCCAGTCAGCCACCCTGAGCTGCAGCAAAGCATCCGAGAGCATCACAGTGCCCCAGCAGTGCACAGCCGGACACACGGACACCGCCTCCCTCGGCACCTCCCCGGGCATTGACAACCTGCTGAAGCCTGTGCATGTGGTGAGGGCTCAGCAGCGGGGCAGTTGGGTGTCCCAGCTCTCCACGAGCCCTGGCTCCGACACCAGTTACATCCTGGGAAGGTAAATGCCGCCTGTGCCCCGGCCTCGGGGTGATGGTGGGGATGGAAGGGGTGCAGGGCTGGGCTCTGAGTCCCTCATTCCTCAGGCTGGGAGCCGGCGGGTTGAGAGAGCTGGTGCAGTCCCTGGGGTGGGCTCTGCGTGTCAACACCCCCCTGATGTTCTCTGCTCTTTGTCCCTCTTGCAGCAGCACCCACTCGCTCCACAACGAGGACTCGGATGCTCCCACCGCTGCCTGCCCGTCCCCCTCCAGCTCCCTGGGCAGCCCCTGCTCCCCTTCCCCTGGCATCGTGTCTCACTCCAGAGAAACTTTTGGCCAGAGGCTCCCCCAGCCCAGGGCAGGCAGCTCCTCCAGCACCAGCTCCTCCTCGGCCCAGAAGGGCCAGGCCAGCAGCTGCCCCCCCTCCATCCTCCCCTCCTCAGCTGACATCCCGGTGCTGTTGGTGAACGGGTGCCTGGAACAAGGAGATGGATCCCCCAGGGCGGCCAAAGCCCCCCCCAGCTCTGCCATGCAGGCCCCCCCTCCTGGCTGCAACCCTGCCCCGAGGCTCGGGGGCCTCAACAACGCCCTGTCAGCTCCTGCACTCTCCTGCGTCCCAGACAGTGAGTCCCAGGGCAGGGCTGGGGTGGGAGCTGCAGACCCTGGCAGCTGCTGGGAAAGGGGTACAAAGCTCATTTTCCCTCTGGTTTAGCTGTGGGTTATAGACATGAAAGGTGGGAGGTCCTTGCCAGAGCTGGAGCTCTTCATTTTGTCCCCAAGGGCTCCGAGGTGGTCTCCAGCTCAGTCCTGGTGACCCTGGATGAGCTGCACCTTCTGCCCAGTGGGGTGCTGGGGCACAGCCTCAGCAGGCAGGAACTCTCTGCTCCCTCGAGGAAATGCAGATACACCCATTTATAGTACCTGAGAGTGAGAACCACCATTCTGTCCTGTCCTCCTGGTTTGTGGGCTCAGAGCAGGGTCAGGAGGGGGTGTTGGGGCTCCTGTTTGCTCTGAGGACACCAAAAGGTACAGGAGTTCACAAGGTCCCTCATTCAAGGGCAAACACTGGGGCTATTGTTCTTTGGAGGAGATGAGCAGAGGCAGCTCTCAGGGCAGAGGGTTTTAATTGGGATCCTTATGGGAATAGCAGGAGGGTGTGTGGGTCAGATCCTCAGCTGGTGTAAAGCCCACGGTCCAGTGCATTGTGCAGGGCTGGGCAGGCTGGCACTGCCAAGGGATTCCATGTGCCCCTCTCTGCACTACATCACAGCCTGCCAAGAGAGATAATTACATGGAGAATGAGCTATTCTGAGGAGTGGGGAGGAAAGGATTCAAAAGGATCGAAAAAAACTTCAGCCCTGATCAGCCTGAAAGAGAAATGTCTTTGCTGGGCTCTGTCACCTGTGGAGGTCCTGCAGGTCCCTGCTGTCCTTGACACCATGGGGTCTCTTGCAGGTCCCCTCAGGGCTGGGCAGCCCACCATGAAGTTCGTGATGGACACATCAAAGTACTGGTTCAAGCCGAGCATCAGCAGGGACCGAGGTGAGGCAGCAAGGGGCTCTGGGGGGGTGACCCTACCTTAGGCTCCTGCCTGTGCCCCGGGATGGAGTCCTCCTGTGTCCCTAGGGACTCAGTGAGGGCAATTCAAAACCTACTGGGGGCTGATAGGGGTGGAAAGACCCTCTTACTCCAAGCGGGATGACTCAGAAACACGGGCTGTGCCACAGCCCCTCTGTGACCCCCTCAAGCCCAGAAAAGCTTCTCCTACCCCTGTGCTGTCCCACAGCATGGCCTGGGCAGGGGCTGAGTGTCCTGGGGACCACAGAGACCTATGAGACCGAGGCAGGGCCCTGCAGGAGCACAGTTGGTGCTGCACAAGGGACGTGCACGTCCTTGGCAAATGCTCCGGAGCCTTTCCTGCTGCTGCCAAGGAGCCACTGCCCACAGAGCACAGGAGTGGGGAGGTCCCACCTGTTGTGCTTGGCTGAGCCCCTGCCTGTGCTCTGACAGCAATCCAGCTGCTGAGGAACAAGAAGCCAGGCACGTTCCTGGTGCGGGACAGCACGTCATTCCGGGGCTCCTTTGGACTGGCCATGAGGGTTCCCGGCTCTCCGTCCGGCAGCCAGACAGGTACAGGGACTCGCTTGGAGATGGGGGTTTCCTTTAATGGTTTAACTGAAACTAGGCAAACTAAAGCCAGGTGAGAAGCAACAGGATTCTGGTTGTGTGGGAGACATTGACGGTGTCTGTTGGTGCCCATCCCACCCCTCACAGGGGCTGGCACCACACTGGCACCACAGAGAAGCTCTGGTGATGCCCTGGGATGGGCAGGGATGGGCAGGCACAGGTAGGGGAAGGCAGGGGTGGGCAGAGAAGGGCTGGCACAGGTAGGGGTGGGCAGGGGTGAAACAGCAGCTCTGGGGCTGGTGCTGATGCTGGTTTTGGTCCCTCTTGCAGGTGACGACAGCAGTGACCTCGTCCGGCACTTCCTCATCGAGTCCTCCACCAAAGGGGTGCACCTGAAAGGTGCCAGCGAGGACCTGTATTTTGGTAAGGATGGTGCCATCACCCACAGCAGCCCTGGCAGCCCCAGGAGTTGTTTCCAAACCTTTTGGAAGCACCGGGGTGATGGGGTGAGCGTGTTGCACACCCACCAGCATGGGGACCCCCCGGCCCGCAGTCCTGCCTGCACTTCCCTGGCAGTGAGATCATGGCAGTAGGAAAATGAGCTTCCTGGGACACTGCTGGGGTGTGGAGGCATGTGGTGGGAGGTTTCAGGCACCAGCCCCTCGCCCCAACTCGTGGCTCTGTGTTTCAGGGAGCCTCTCTGCCTTCGTCTACCAGCACGCCATCACCCAGCTGGCACTGCCCTGCAGGCTCCGCATCCCCACCCAAGGTAGGTGCCGGGACAGGGGGGATGCTCCAAGGGGAAGGGGGGGAAGGTCCTGAGGTGGGGAAGGGGCTGAGCCACCCGAGTGCCCTGTGAGGGGCTGCTGCCCTGGCTGCAGGCAGAGCAGGGACCTGCAGAGCTGCCCTGAGGACAGCACAGCAGTGACCCCCTTCTGCTGGGGGTGAGGGTGGGCGAGAGAAGGAGGAGTGGGGAGATCAGAGGTGAGCAGAGCCAGGAGAGGGAGGTGGAGGACAGTTAAGTTAATTACTGCTCTAAGCCCCTGCAATTAGAGCGGTCCCGGGCCTTTGTGAGATAAGGAATGGCCAAAGAGGTGACCAGCACAGCCCTGCCTGTGGCATCACTGCTCCTGCTTGTCCTTTGTGCAGATCTCGCTGGCGGAGAAGACAGCCCAGACTGTGCTCCTGAATCCATGCTGGCCCTGGCAAACAAAACTGCAGGTGAGGGCACGAGCCTGCACTGCTGCCCAGCTGGTAAGAGCTGGAGCCCTGGGCACGCTGTGACAGCAGCAGGTCACCCCCACACACTGGTGGGGGCCTGTGTGACATCCCCCTCCAGCTTCCCCACCGGGCTGGGGATACCCCCAGGATCTCCCCACCTCTTCCCCAGCCCCTGGGCTGTAAGGGAATCTGGTATTTTTAAGGAAAGGAGATTTTGGGCCCTCAAGATATTAGAGAGCACAGTTCTTGAGGTCACAAGGCTGACAAAAGGCACCCATTTCCCACAGTCTTAAATAGCTCCTGATTTTTAAGCCTCTCCCTTGATGGGGTTCAATGGGGATTGAACATCTGGAGCTTTAGGAGAGGGATGGGGCAGTTGGGGGCTGCTTGAATTGCTGAGGGACCTTATGGGGGACACGTGGGCACTGCAGAGCAGGATGGGAGGGGTCTGTGCACCCCAGCCTGGGTGAGAGCAGAGAGGGAAGGGCAGGAGACCACACGGATGGGTCACAGCACAGGCCGGGGAAGTGGGAATGGCTTTGTTTTGCTGGAAATTCTGAAAAATCAGTTGGCAAGCTGGAAAGTTTAGTTTGACCCAGAGCAGCCCTTTAAACAGCTCAATCAGCCTGAAATGTCATGTTTTAGGTTGGCCTTCAGCCCTTCGTTGGCTTGAGGTATTTCTGCTTTTCATTAAAGGAAATATGTAATAAACAGAAAAAAAAAAAAGCCCCAAATGTGACATTTAGAAACGGGAAATTAAATACTTTGACTTTTACAACAATGAGTGCGAAGAATTAAAGTAAACCAAACTAAATTGGTGAAGAATTTCTGAGTCACCGAACCCTTTAATTTTCGTCAAAACAAACCCGACCCGGATTCCGTGTGAGGGTTCTGCAGGATGATCCCTGGGACCCAGCCCTGGATGTCACCCGCGCTGAGCCGGGCTCTGTGCTGTCCTTGCAGTGTGCAACGTCCTGTACCTCAGCTCAGTGAACGTGGAGACGCTGACGGGAGCCCCGGCCATCCTGAAAGGCATCTCCTGCACCCTGGAGCTGGAGACGCTGCCCACGCCCACCCTGGTGCACTTCAGGGTGACAGAGCAGGGCGTCACCCTGACCGACATCCAGAGGAAGTAAGAGCCTAGGGATGGGCTGCGGGGGTGGCCGAGGGGGGCTCGTGGAGAGGTAGCTCACCTGTGCCCACCCAGCCCCCTCCTTGCCTCCCAGCCTCAGGAAAAGCTGCCCTGCTTGGACAAACCCACGTCACCATCCAGGGATGGACCTGGCCCCGTGTTACAGTGCGGGGCTGTGCGTGGCAGCACCTCAGGGGTGGGATGCAGGAGGCAGCTGGACCCAGGGTTGGGATTCTGGGATGCCATTTGGGACCCCCATTCCTCAGCAGCCGTGACAGGACTTGGATCTGCATAATTCCATTCCTGCCTGGACCCTTCCCTTCCATAACCCTTCCCTCTCCTCTTCCAGGGTGTTTTTCAGGAGACACTACCCCTTGGCTGCCATCAGGTTCTGCGGGATGGACCCTGAGAACAGAAAGTGAGTTTTGGGTGGCTGTGCCGGTCAGAGCCACCTCCTGTGCTCCCTTCCCTGCCGTTCCCAGCACTTCTGCGCTGCTTCAAATCCCAAATCCCAAAAAACTGCCCTGGGCGTAACGCGCCGGGGTGGATCTAAACACAACCCTTGGCTTTGCAGCTGATGGAATGAATTAAACATCAGCCTTTGAGCAACTCCAATTCTGTTCTTCCCTCAGGTGGCAGAAGTACTGCAAGTCCTCCAGGTACGACCTGCACGGGGACCTCCCGCACGGAGCTGGGGGCTGGAATCTGGGGGGAATGATGCTGCTTTGGGAAGCAGTTGCATTGCAGAACATCAAAGAATCAGCTTAAAAATGAAGAGAGGAGTCAGTAGAAGTTACCGTGGTGGCCTGGTGAGGGGTGGGACTGGTGGGTAAAGTTTTAGGGTGGGTTTACTCTGTAGGTTTGGGCAAGAGGTTTGGCTGAGCCCCGTTCTCCACATCCCCTTGTGCAGAACCCCCCATCCAAATCCCACAACCTTTCCAGGGACTCACACTGGGCTCAGGAAGGGAGTTTATATCTGGCTCTACCTTGTGCTCAAGAATCTTTTCACGGCTGGGTGAGCCTTGCCAGAAACGCTCCTCCCGACTGCTTGGCTTCCAAGGAAACGTGATTGGGGAGCGGGCCAAGGTGGAATTGTTGGAACTGGGATTTGGCTTTGTGGCCGGGGCTGGTTTCAGCGTATTCCTTCAGATTCCTGGATGCAAACTGAATAAGCCTCTCTCCTTTTTTCAAAGAATCTTTGGGTTTGTGGCCAAAAGCCAGGCAGACTCGGGGAACCTCTGTCACCTGTTTGCAGAGTACGACACGGTGCAACCAGCATCGCTCATCATCGACCTGCTCCGTCAGCTCCTGCCCGGCCCGTAGGGATGGCACCTTGGGATGCCCAGGGCTGGCAGCTGCCCACACACTGCCGAGCTTCTCCTGCTCCTCTGCTCCTGCTTCTGAGTTGCATTTTGGCAACAGCTTGTATTTATACTCGTTTTGTTATGTACCATCATGTCAGAAGTCTCAGTTTGAGATTTTCAGCTCTGGTGGGATGAGATGCCCACGGGGAGCTGTGCTGGTCTGGGACAGAGCGGTGGGATGGGAGCTGTGCTCCCTATGGAACCACAGCCCCTCACCTGGCACCCGCTGTCTGCTTTGCAGGGCCCCAGTGTTCTGGCTGAGGTTCCTACCAGCCATGAGGGACCCCTGTGCTCGGGGCATCCAGGCTGAGGCAAGTCATGGAGCTGAGCTGAGCTCCCACCATTAGGAACTCGGCCCTGACCCCCCAGTGCCACAGGAGGGGAGGTCTGGGGCAGGCAGGGGGGACTCACCCCCTGAGTAGCACCAGAAGGCAGCTTTGCAAATCAAACTGTATAAAAATCACCAAGCCCTGCTGGAAACCTGCTTCCCTGAAGGAGCAAGAGGCATCCACAGGCAGGAATGTCAGATCAGCGCATTTTTCCCTGTGCTGGGAAATTCTCCTGCCCTTTTTCGCAGAGCGGGGTTACGGGCGGGCTCGACCTCCCAGCACCGCGGAGAGCTGGGAAATAAACGGTGACATTTTCATGACAGTGAAACATCGGGTTTTTGGAAATGACTTGCCTGAATTTGGGCCAGCTCCTCGGATGACGTGCATTGGCACGGCCCCGAGGAAGCCGACGCCGCCGTGATCTGCAGCAGCTGAAGAGTCGGATCCGCTGCAGCTCGGAGCAGAGAGCGGCTCCGAGGCCACCACACTGTCACCGTCCTTAGTTCTCGCTTACCTGGGGCCTCTGTACTGGTTTTGATTTCAGACCCTGTGTTATAAACCCACATAGGGGTATTTCCAATAAAGCAGTGGAGTGTTTATCCTGCACAGACACCGCAGGGATGTCAGCAATGGAGACGCTCTGCTCTGGAACAGCCAAGCAGATGCATCCATGGCAGAGGGTCCTTCTCCTCCAGCCAGGCTGTGGAGCGGGTCCAGCTGGAGCAGCTTTTGGCAATGACCAAAACAGATATCGGGGTCACGGCGGGGGGAGCACATGGGGCCCTGGAGCTCTGGGAGGAGACCTGAACAGCTTTGTGCCCCCAGACCCTTTGCCCCAGGCTCAGCTCAGCCAGAACCCAGCTCTCTGGGGTGAGCTCCAGAGCTAGTCCCAGGGATCCTTGTGTTTCTGCCACCCCCACTGTGCTACAGGGACCCAGTGGAACGTGGAACCCCAAGGTCATGGGCAGCTCCAGCTGCAGGATCCCAGCCCTGGGACCTTGGTGCAGGTCCGGGACCCCCAGGGCTGGACTCCTGCGGTTATCACGATGCTGGTCAGGATCAGCACAAAGAGAATGGGAACAGGCAAAGGCTTTGGCTCCATGCGGTGCTTTGAGAGGGTCGCGCTGCCCTCCCGACCCCGGCCAGCCCTGGCAGTCACCGGCACAGAGCCGGGGCGCGGGGCCGGGCTCCAGGAGCGCTGGCGTCGGCCCTGGTCCGGCGGCCGATGTGCTGTGCCAGCAGATTTCTGGGCTGCCTGTGTTGGCTGCGGCCGCCTCCGGCCCCGTCCCGGGGGTGTTTGCACAACCCCCAGCACCGCGCGGCTCCGGTAACCGGAGCATCGGGCTGGCGCCAGCCCCGGATGGCACCGCCGGCCCCGGGAGCCACCAGGCAGGGACTCGGCGAACTCCTGTGCCGTGACCGCGGGCAGCACCGGCTGCAGCCGAGCTGCTGTCGGGGGTGCCAGGAGCAGCCGGAGGGGTGCGGCTGCTGCAATTCCCGCGCCTGGGCATCTCCCAGCTGCATCCCGGCACCCTCCCAAAACGCCGAGCGGAGCCGGTGGTGCCCGGTGCACTCCGGCACCTGGGCATGTGCCGTGGGCTGCGGCTCGTCAAGGCCGGCGGGACCGCCTGGCCTCGAGCCCGTGTCCCTGGAGCAGCCGGTGCCCGTCCCTGTCCGGCCCTGAACTTTGAAGCCCGTCCAGGGTCCCCTCCCAGCCTGGCGCCGTCTCCGGCCCCGCCGCTGCTCCGTGTCGCTGTGTGGGGCTGACGGTGACAATCCTCCCGGTGGCACTGGTGGAGGCTGAGCTGGGAGTCACGAGAAGGCAAGAAATCATTTGCTTCCCTGCTCGTGAAGCTCTTCCAGAGGCTTCAGGGCACCTGGGTTTCCAGGGCTGCTGAACCCCAAGCCCAGTGCAGGACCAGGAGAGCAGGTCCTTGGGTGACGAAAGGAGCCTGTCCCCACACCAGTGGGATCCCACAGAGCCTTCACTCCTGCTCTGCCTCCCCCCTCTCCCATTATTTAAAGCCATAAAAAATAAAACACACTCAATAGAAAAACATCAGATAACAGGAAATTAAATATAGTAATTACCTTTTTTTCTTTTTGAGGATACAAAGGTTCAAGTGTACTGTAAAAGGGTCGGTGCTACACGGGAGTCCAACGGGACGGGCTTGGCCCAGGAGGGACGGACAGGGACCCCTTGGGCACAGGGGGACATACTGGGGACAGGGGACACTGGTACATGGTTGTGTGTAAATACAGCCCTAAACTACAGGAGAGACACTGTGAAACACTGGAGCCCTCCAAGCAGGACACAGAACGTGCCCTGGTGCACCGGCATTCCCAGGAACCCCCGAACTGGGAAAGGCTCTGCTGGATCTGCCCTGATGTGGGCAGGGAGGGGTCAAGTGGCCAAGACCACTGGGCTGGCACTGCCACCACACCCTGTGCCCCACCACAGGATTGGCACCATGACTGGCCATGGTCCCCAGCAGCACCTCCTGCGCCCTGGGAAACCCATCCTTGGCACAGTGGCACTGGGGGGACTGGGAGAGAAGAGGGGCAGGGACCCCCCCTCCCCACCGAGGACTGTCCTGGCAAATTGACTCCATTTAGAAGTTGTGTGTGAGCAGGGCCACAGGCAGCCAGGGCAGGCAGGGATCCGGGGGGTGCCAGGGCAAGAAGAGATCCAGCAGGGCACAGGGACAATCAGGGCATCTGGGGGTTGCCAGGGCAGGCAGAGATCTGGCAGGACACGGTGGCGGACAGGGATCCAGGGTGGTGCCAGGACAGGCAGGGATTTGGCAGGGCACAGGGGCAGGCAGGGAGGGGGTCAGGAGGGCAGAATGTTTCACTAAAACTGAAACATTTTGTTCCCATCAGGAGGCCTTGGCCGGGGCAAATCCACATGGAAAACCAAAAGCTTCCACTGAGGCCATGGAGCTGGGGTAGGTCAGGACGGGATCAGGAAAGTCCCCTCCATCTTTGGCACACTTGCCACGGCATTTTTACATGAAAAATTTTCAGCCCAGCTTAAAGAAAAGAGAAGAAAAAAGAACAGCTACAAAACCAGTGACAATTTCTCAGCTGAGAACTTTGTGCTGGTGAAATCTGCAGATCCCATCATGGAGACATTCCAGAACCCTTCCTGGTTTTGTCATGTTGGCCAAGCAGAGAAGACAGGAGCTATTGCCACAGTCCCCTAGTCCCTGGGGTTGGAGAATTGCAGCCTTGGGGCCACGTGGTCACTTTTAAGATCCCACCAATGGCATTTTTTAAATGATAAAAAAAAAAATTGGGGAAGAAACTAAAAACTCAGACCAAAAGCTCTTCCTGCTGGGATGCATTTCCTGGACCTCCCTTGTCCCCCCCACCCTCCCCTCAGACTCAATGCCTGTGAGGACCATCCTCGCCCCAGGGATGGGACAGGGGGAGACAGGATGGGTGGGGGGCTATGTCCCTGCACGGGGAGCAGGATGGAGCAGGGCTGTGGGGATGGGGGGCTGCAGCGGGGAGGGGAAGGTCTCTTATTGCTCTGTGTGGCCGCACTGCCCATCACACACACACACTTTGGGCGAGATGCAGGCAGGGAGGGCAGGCAGTGGGGGGGTCTCTCCATGCCCCCCGGTCCTTGCCTAGGCAGCCTCTTGCTGCTGGGAGGGGCAGGATGAGGCACTTCTCCTGCTGCCCATGCAGAGGTCTGGCATGCATGGTCTGCCACAGCACCCCACGGTGTCGAGGGCTGCCCAAGGGGCCGGGGTGAAAACCGGGGGGGCACCATGGGGCACCAGCAGCAGCGTCGAGGGTGCTCCCCACCAGGGCAGGCCAACACCAGCCCCGGGGCAGCATGGTCCAAGCTGTGTCCCTGTGGGATGGAGGGGCCGCTGGCGCGTGCCAGGATCCCCAGCAGTGGCGGGTAGTGGTCATGGCGCAGGTCGTGGGCAGCCCATGGCACAGAGCAGCACAGTCCAGAGTGCACCCCGGGGTGCCCCGGCACCAGGGCCCCGCTCGGCGCTCACGGCCCCTCTCCTGCTGTCCCTGGCAGCCGCTCGGCGCGGGGCTGCCGCGGTCACGCTCACATGCTGTCCGCCAGCTGGTGACAGTCCAAGTCCCCCTTCAGCTCCAAGAAGCCCGGCAGCTTCACCCCAGTCTTGCGGTCCACGCACCAGCACTTGCCGCGCTGCCCGTCCAGCGCCGGGTGACACTGCGGGGACAGGTTCAGGGAGGGACACCTCAGGCCAGGCGGGCTCTGCCATGCCCTGTCACTGTCCCGTCCACCCATTTCCGCCTCCCAGCCTCACCCTGGCCCTACACAGCGGCCCCACAGCGGGTGGGAGCCCGTCCTACCTGCTTGGGGTGGAAGTTGCCGTTGCGGTCGCAGTTGGGGATGGGGATGACGTACAGGTCCTCGTGGGTGCGGGTCTGCGAGGCCGCCAGCCGCTCCAGTGCCCGGTGCAGCTCGCTCTGGCACGAGCCCTGTGCCTGCGGGAAGGAGGGGCTGAGCTGGCCACGGGGCTAGCACGTGCCCCTACCCCAGAGCCCTGGGATCCCTCTCCACCCTGCCCTCCCCAGCCCTGCCAGCGCTCACTATGGGCCGCGTGTCCTCACGGTGGTGAGGGCTCCCGCTGCTGCGCATCTTGTTGCCATTGTTGACCCTCTTCGCCTGCTGCTTCTGCAAGCACTTGCGGTCATGGATACTGCAGGGGCTGAAGCTGTTGTTGGGGTGGTCGATCTCCTCCTTCTCTGCAGGAACACAGATCAAGGGGGCTCAGTGCCCCTGGCACCCTCAGCAACAACAAGCAGCTGGTGCTGCCAGACCCCACACCACCCTCTCCAGTCCCCAGAGGTGTCGCCCCGGGCCCTGGGCCCCCTTCTGCCCCTGCTACTGCACAGGTCTGAGCTCCCTGCAGCACTGGGAAAGACTCCTGGGAGTTTTTCCAACTCATTAGCCATGATTAACAACTTATTGCCATGTGTTTGTTATTGTAGGGTTGCAAATGCACACTGTGAGTGCTGGGCAGTGGCTCCAATGTGCTGGGTCTGGCTGTGTCCCTGCCAGCCACGTGCCACCAGGCACCGGGTGCTCACCCACAGCACTGGAGCAATGGGGCTGGGATGCACAGCCAGGGGGCCACAGGAAGACCCCCGTGCCCCCAAAAAGCTGCCTTTGAGGAGCTGCAGCAGGAATGGGGCACTGGGGTGGTGCTGAGCCCCCGCCAGGCCCGGGGCGGCACCGGGCGCCGCGGCCGGGAGTGGAGCCGTGCTCTGCCGCGGGGCACGGCCCCCGCCAAGACATGAAAGAAGAAATTCCTGGAATAAGAAAGTTAATCTCCCACGGGGCTGATCCCGAAAGGCGGCGCTTGGCATCCCCGCCTGCGCCAGGAGCGCAGCCAAGCTGCCGGCCCAGATGTTGGCAGCTGGAGGGAGCGTCATGAGACGAGTGCTCGGCGTGACTTAACTTTCAGAAAGCTGCCGGTTCCTCCAGCCTGGGGCCCATTTACACTCTGTGGAGGGAAGACACCCCAGGAGCTGAGCCCCACCTGTGCTCAGAGCTGTGTCAGGCACAGCCCAAGCAGAGTTTTGTCCCCCAACCCATCTGGGCTGTCCAGGGAAGCAGCCAGGGCTCCCTGCCCGAGGTTGTCCTGGGGTTGGGCTTAAACGAGTCAGTATTGCGACTGGCAGCAGGGAAAACCTTCCCAAACCAGGTAGGGAGGAGTCACCATCAGAGGTGGCACTCAGGGGCTCACAGCACCAGGACAGGGGCTGCCGGGTGATTCCCTAGCACTAGCCCTTCCCACAGGCTGGCAGTGGGGTCAGAGCCACAGCCTCCTGCCCACCACATCCTCCCAGGATCCGTGCCCTCATCTCTCTTTGGCACCTCATGCTGTGGCTCCTGCAATGCAGGGCTCCTGGCCCAGCTCCTGGGGGCCTGGTTAAAGTCCACAGCAAAGCCCCAAGCAAAGCCCCCTCCCTCGTGGATGTTATTTGCTTTTTGCTTAATCTGTCCACTTTTTCCAGGAAATGGCTCATGCCCTTGAAATTTGAAACACGAACCCAAAGAGACCCAAAGGACCCTGCACAGAGCAGTGCCAGCGCCAGCTCTGACAGCAGCAACCACGGGGCCGTGGTGCAATGCTGGTGGCAGCGCCCAGCTGAGGGGGGCATGGGGGCTCAGGCAAGGATGTTCCTTCCTTCCTCTGCATTTCCACGGGGACACACAAGGAAGAGCTGGGCAGAAGATTTGGCAACGGTGGGGACCACTGTGCTGAATTCCTTGCACCTCCACACTCTTCTCCCACACTGTGGAAAGGCAGGACAGGGAGGCACCGGCCCTGCCCACTCTGCTCCCGCAGGGGAAGCCCTCACCGATCCCAGCACAGCCAAACCCCCCTCCTTCCCCCGCCAGACGCCTCCAGAGCATCAAATCTCCCGGCTTAAATAAAACCAGATGCCAATAACATTTTCATAAGGTCACATGAAAATCCGGTGCCTCCAGGCTGTGAGACGGCTCCTGCCAGCGCTCGGGACCTGCGGTCCCCGGCTCGCATGCTCCAGCATCCCTCCCTGCCACAGGGATCTCTGCTGTCCTTGGGGTGACTGTCCCTTGCTAAGTGACACACAGCAGCTCAGGGAACCTCTTGCCTGCCTGGGACCAGAAAAGTCCTCACACTCAGCAAAAAGACATGGGAAAAGCAATGTGTGTGGAACCCAGAGCTGCCACCCGCCACCCTGCCCTGGTGCAGCCCAACCTGCCACCCCATGCATGGCCACCACGACCCTGGAGGGAGGGAGGGAGGACAGCAATGGGCCCTGCTTGACAGAGCTTTTTAACACTCAGATATGAGTCTGCTCAGTTTGGGATAGAAGTGGGTGCCAAGGAGATGGGAAGGAGTGCTGCCCTCCCTGGCCCAGCCTGCGGATGGGGGACACAAACGAGTCATTCAGCGTCGCCTTCAATTAACAGGAGCTGCAAATGAGGTTGGTCATGTGCTGAAATTGTGATTCACAGCACTGAGCCCGAGGGAGCGGTGAAGGGCTCCGGCTCCACCGCGTGGATCCTGTGGGAGCAGAACCTGGGGCAGCCAAAGAAATCCCAAGACTCTGTGTGTGTGTGTGTGTGTGTGTGTGTGTGTCCCTGGGGAGGTACAAGTGTCAGAGCTCCAGCCCCACTTCCCTCCTGTGCCACCAGTCCCTTGTGAAGGATCCTACGTGCCTCAAGGGACAGAAGGGACACATCCACGTGTCTGTTGCCGACATGGCACATGAGCCATGGTGACCCCAGCACCCTCCATGTCCCTGTCCAGCACTCCCAGTGTCACCTGCAGGTGGTCCTGGCAGGGCCGTGGCAGTGCTGCCTTTTGGCTCCCAGAGTGCTGGACTTGGCAGGCACTGGCACAGGGAGGGCTGTGCTTTTCTTGCCAAGCACTGGTCCTGGCAGAGTGTGGGGAGCCAGGTATGGGGGTGCCAGGGGCACCAGCACCAGGCACCTACTACACCTTGGGCACCTCCTGCCTCAGTGTCCAATGTGGGCCCTGTGGAAGAGAGATTGGGATGCAGGAGAGGGAGTGAGGGATTCAAACGCAGATGATGATTCCCCACAGATGATTCCTTGCCAGGAGCAGCACTCAGCCTGGAGAAACCAGAGTATGGAGGAATCTCCACCCCAGGGAACAGGTGGGACATGGCAACAGCCTCACCTGCCTAACTCCAGCCTGCCCTCCCTGCCCATGCGCTGTCCAGCCAGGGCTCAGCCACCACTCTCCCTCCTGGTCACAGCACACAGGAAGGAAACAGGATTTGTCCCAGCTTGCAGAGACCACACGGGATGAACACAGCTCCCATGGGGTCAGGTTTTCCCAGACAGAAGCATTTACCCAGCATTAAATCACTCGTCATGTGTACTGGGGAATATGTCCTCACCTCCTCCTGGCTGCCACACACAGGCTCAGTCACTACCAGCCAGCGGCTGTGCCGGAAAGCCATGGCTGGGACCTCCTGGAGCTGGCCCTGGCACAGGGCTCTGGCTGAGGAGTGGGGTCCTGGAGCCAGACAGAAGCTGGCAAGGGCTGGGAGAGGGAGGCAGGGACAGGGCCCGACACAAGGTGCCCAGACCCACAACCATGGGAGAGGGTCAGGAGGGCAGCCACCCGCTCCCTCGCTTCCTGAGAGTCCCGTCCTGTGTGTGCTGCGGGTCCTGGGTGAGCAGAGAGGCTCTTTGCTGCCGCTGGAGCCGGGAGCCACGTTCAACCCTTCGGAAAGCCCAGCCTCAGCCCAGCCCCCCGATCCCAGCCTCTTCCCTGGAATGCAGAGCCCCCCGGACAGAGCCCCCAGACAAAGTGTTTACTGTACGAGCTGTGCGTTAACCGCTTCCCGGCCACCGGGAACGCTCCCCGGCACCCGCTCAGCCCCGGGGCCACAGCCACGGCCGGGGACACCTGCTCCCCATGGCCCTGCCCCCAAGTAGGCATTTAATTCCCTTCTGCTGATCCATCAGAGGCCAGGGTGCCCTCGCTGTGCAGGAGTGATGGAACATGCAGCCCTCAGCCCCACACTCCCACTGGCTCTGGGCTGCTGGAGTGGGTCAGAGACCCACAACTGGATGTCCCACCAGACCAAGCAATGTGCTGTGGGTGTCCTACCCACATCCCACCGGGCTGTCCCGGACACGGGGGTTCCCAATGCCCTCTTGCCCATCCTGCCACCTGTGACACCGCCGGCCATCACGGTGCCCGGTGGGTGACCCGGCTCCCACGGCCACCCACCCATCCCCAACCAGGCCAAAACACCGCGGGAAGGAAGGGAAAAAATGCAAGTCTGTTTCCTAAAGGCTCTGGGAAAAAATGTTGCATTACACGGGGCACAGCCAAAACCAACAGGGCTTGGCAGCGTGGCGCAGCCCCGGGCCAGGGAGCCCAGACAGCTCCTGCAGGATGTGGGATGAGGACAGACAGGCAGGGCAGGGGGGTTCTGCAATGGACCCCATGCCAAGCACTCCGGGAGAGCTCCTGTCCCTGCAGGGGGCAGTTGGAGGGGCCCATCCAAAAAGGGTACTTCTCACGCTGGGGATACTGGCAGAGCTGCCATGGACCAGCCATGCAAGGAGGGAATGGAGCTGAGATCCAGCCCTCACAGTGGATAGGGACAGACACTGCTCTAGTCCCTTCTGCCCCACAGGGAGCTCCAGGTGACTCCGTGTGTGGATCCAGGGCCAGGCCAGCTCATGGATCACCCCGTAGTGGGATGCTGCTCCCCAGCTTCAGGAGACACAGTCCTGGTCACAGCTTACAGGATATGAAAGGGGGAGCATGGCATCCAGACCCACAGATGGACCAGGTCCCCACACTCATCCCTCAGGAGAGGCCCCATTCCCACAGTGCAACTTGCACAGCTCTGGGCTGGGCTCCCACCATCGGCTCCAATCCTGGCCCCCAGACCCTGCTCAAGCACCAGGGGGATGGCAGGGGGCCACAATCAACACCTGCAAGAGGGTCCCGGGGCAGACAGTCATAGGCAGAAAGTACAGGAAGCAGCTCCTCCAGTCCGGCCCTGCCTGCACCCCACTGTCCTGCCCGGACAGACACAGCTCCTGGCAGAGCCCGGCACAGCGCCCGGCCAGACCTGCCTGCGAGGGAAGCAGGTGCCCCGCGGCCTCTTTCCTGTTTCCTCCCGGCAGTGCAGGCAGAGCTCCCAGCAGCATCCCAGGGAAGGGGCAGCGCAGGGGCCTTTGTGCAACAGGAGCTTCCCCAGCAGCTGGGACGTGTCCCCAAGGGCCTCGGGTGTCCACAGGACTCCAGGTTGCCCCTCGGTCCAGGGGCACGTTGCAGCCAGGGGGGTAGAGCAGGTTGTTCCCCACTCCAGCACGTGCGGTGCCACTTGGCCGTGGCACTGCTGTGTCCACAGTGGGTAAGGATGGCACAAACATCAGCCACATGTACCAGGTGTCCTGCAGCTCTGCTCCCTCCCTGGGACACACTCCCTGCATTCCCATCCCTGGGCTGTCCTGTCCCATCCTGCCTCTTAGGGTCATGGAATGGTTTGCGTTGGAAGAGACTTTAAAGACCACCTACTAGACCAGGTTGCTCCAAGCCCCGTCCTGCCTGGCTTTGAACACTTCCAGGGATGAGACATCCAGAAATACTCTGGGCAACCTGTTCCAGTGCCTCTCCACCCTCACAGGGAAGAATTTCTTCCTATCATCTAATTTAAATCTCCCCTTTTTAGTTTAAAACCCTTCCCTTTACCCTGTAACAACCTACCCATGTAAAAGTCACTCTTCGTCATTTTTACAAGCTTCCTCTAAGTGTGGAAAGGTCCTTGACAAGCCCCGTCCCGCAGCCCCAGCTCTCGTCGAGTGATCAGGGAGCGAACTGGTGCCAACAGGGGGTTGTACCATTACCATTGTCAGGGAAAAGGACCCCCGGGCACTCACCCCTGGTACCCACCCCGGGCACCCACCCACGGCCGCCACTCCGCCGCCTCACCTGGGGGGTGGAGGCTCTCCTGGATGGCCTCGACGTCGGCCAGGTCGGTGCAGATGCCCTGGCCGTGCATGAGGGTGCGGAGGGGCCGGGGCTCTCCGCGGGGCGGGTAGCAGCGCAGCCCCGCTCCGCAGCGCGCGGTGTACACGCCGCAGGGGGTTCCGCGGGGCAGCGCGCAGGTCGCGCAGCACCCGCAGCCCGGCTCCCGCACCAGCTCCGCGCAGCCCTGCGGCGCCTTGCACCGCGCCAGCCGCTCCTCCGAGCACGGCGGGCACTGGATCGCCTCC